TCTCGACAAGAAGCAGCGATAGTAATAGTTGTAGTACTGGCAACAAATACGAATAAGAAATGCTGAATCCATCCATATGTTGATTGTAAAATTTTCATAGAAGAGTAAGTTCATTTTATTATTTCATTCAAGTGTAGATAAATTAATAAAAAAACTAAAACTTCTTTTTTTCTCTCATTATTATCAATTATCTTTCTATTCTTTAGTATTATTATTCAATATTTAAATTTAACAGTACCAAAAAGAAAGATACTTTCCTACAAACAAATTAAGAATATATAGAAAACATAAATACATAATCAATTTTCATGGTGGATAGTTTACTATGACGTTGTCCTTTTTTTTTGTGTTTAGATAATAAGCTAAAAAAAAAAAGAACGATGTATGTAGTAAAAAAAAGCACTCAAGCAAGTATGCTTGTCATTCGACATCAATCATTAACACATGAAAAGTAAAGATGATTAAAGAAAAAAGAAAAGATCTTTCTCTACAATCTTATTCTAACCATATTCATTGTTTTATTTTAAACTTTTAATTCTATTATTTTATAATTCTTTCAATCTTTCTTACCCGCATTTTTATTTGTGTCAGCAAAGAGATTGTGCTATGTGAAAATTGAAATTCATATCACAGTCTTGCTTTGTTGACATGAAACGAACATTCGTCATATTCAATTAAAATAGAAGAAAAATAATCAATTTACTTTTCATTCTGAACTCTTTTTAATCAATTTCATTTCTTTTTTATATAATATATATATACATGGCGGTTCCTATCAGTGAACAGTCTGTGAAATGTTGAGATAAAATCAAAGTCATATCACAGCCTGCTTGCTGATGTAAATCGTCGATAACTTCATACGATTACATATGTAATCATTTAACAATCATCATGGAAAAATATTGTTGTAGTTAATAATAAATTTGTCAAAAGGGCATCATGAACTTTGAAATAGGAAAACAGAAAGCTCAATAAAAGATCTCTATCTCATTTAATTCAATCGTAAATGAACCGTGATATTTATCTATACATGTGTTCATCTGTTGTCGATCAATGAACAAAATGTGCATCGAAACATATTATCTTGATCGGATAAAAAAAATATTGTTTCAATTGTTTTTATTTTCTTTAATTGGAAAGTATATGAATCAATTCTAAAATAATTAATTATGAACTATATACAATCGAAAAGAGATGGATTTGTTTTTCTAAAATAATAAAAATCGAAAAGGCAATTAGTAAAAATTTCATACTATTGGTATTGTTAAGTAGCATTGGAAACACCTGATGATCATTGATATTCATAATGAATGAAAATTTAACCGTTTGGTTTATATTTTTTCAAATAGTAATCATTCGAGATTGTACGACCTCTATGAATGTAATATTCAATAAGATAAAATACTTCGACTATGGTATTTTATAGAACTTGTGAGATATTCATAAGATTATCATCTAACAATGTTAATATCACGTATTATCTCATTTGGGTTATTGAAAAACCAACATCATAGTATAATAGCATGTACCCGATGTTTTCTATCGAGTCTCTCTCATGTCTCATTATCAAATAATGATAACAATAGCAAACAATCAATATCATCTACGAAACAAACTGATGATAATAATGAATGGCTATGGGCGTATTTACGTGATCGAAAAAGCTTTATGGATCTTAGTGAAGAACATAGACGACGTGTTGTTGAAATTGGTTAGCATTATATTTCTTTGAATTCCAATCGTATTCATAAGATTTTATCTTATTTCATAGAAGTACAAACTTTGAGAGAAAGTGGTGATCGTATACCAGAAGTTATACCTGAAGAACGATGGGATGAATTACTTAATTTACCAACAATAGAATCTCGAAAAACACTTTATGGGTAAGAGAATTATATTGGGCTATGATGTTTCATTTACTTTTAATCTGACTTCATCTAAAACTCACAATCTATCAGACTGAGAAGCGCTTCATATTTCGATACTCTATTGTTTTTCCGAAAACAATGACCTGTTATTTCAATCAATTTGTCATAGAAACATGAGATAAATACATATCTCCTAGAATTACTTTTTTATTTACTTTAGATATCTTTTTCTTCGTGAACTCTATCGTAAACGTCGTTCCGCTGTAGTTGCTACAAATGATATTCGTCGTGCTGAATCATCAAAACGTCGTCAAACACTTCTTGCTGAAGGAAAACCACCAACGAATTATCCCGGTTATTCATCCATATTTCGTCATTTAGGTCGACAACATGAAAAATTAGTACGTGAACAATTATTACTTGCACCAGCAAGACTTGGTGAAATGCTTGTTATTGATTGTGGTTTTGAACAAGATCATGCAAAACAACATTATCTATCAAATTTAATTGATCAAATACAATATTTATTTGCTGATGTAACACGTTATCATTCACCATCATTTGTCTATTTATGTAATTTATCATTACGTGGCCGTCTACGAACAGCATTTGAACAGCGTGCTGCATTAGAAAATATGTGTTTTGAAACTACAGAATCCAGTTATTTAGATATATTTCCACGTGAAAAACTTATTTATTTATCGCCAGATTCAAATAATGAAATGACAACATTTGATCATGATGCTGTTTATATTGTTGGCGGTATTGCTGATATTAGTAGGTATTTCTCTATAACAACCGTAAATATTATACCACTGAACATACACTAAATACTAGTCATATGAAACTTTGAATTGAAATAAAATGTTATTTGCTTGCTAATGATCTTTTTTTTGTTAATAGCTGGTAAAAAGCCTTTAACATTTGGTAAAGCAAAACGTGAAAATATCAGACATCAACGATTTCCAATCGATCGATATGTAAAGTAAGTTTTGTTTTTATTTTTTCCAATGAAATGCAGAATATTCTCGTCTGCATCAACGCCATCGAGGAAAAATTTTTGATTTCCAGGAACGTTTCGGGTGCTCCGATGAAAATTCATAATTAATTCTAAACAAATATTTTTACTTAGATTTGGCGGTGGTAGTGGAAAATCTTTGACACTTGATCAAGTATACAATATTTTAATGACATTGAAACATACTGGTTCTTGGGTTGATGCATTTAAATATATACCGTAAGTTTACTTTATTTTTTCTTAATTATGCAAATTATTGTATTCTATTTATTTATTTATTTAGAGATCGAAAAGTTATTGAACGATACTCAGAAAGAACGGACAATAAACGACATGACCGTGAAAGTTTTGGTCCTAAAATCGGTTTAAATTCATGATATTATGTCTTTTTTTTCATTTTGAATGAAAAAAAGTCAGCACAAATCGTGTGATTTTCGTTTCTTTTTTGTTTAACTAATCGAATGATATAAAATATAGAACGAAGTAAACCGTAAATTTCTCTTATCGTATGCATATGACAAAAAACAAATAATTATCTTTATATGAATTTTGATTTTAATAATTCAATCATAGCAATAACTTATGTAAATATTTATTATGCCATATAAACTCAATTGAAGTAGTAAGAGACGAAAAATGATTGAATATATATCAGGAAAATACTGCTTTTATATATTAATTAAGAAATTATCGAACATTACTCTACAGATACATTATCTATAATGCTTTATATAGACGAAATACATTAGTAAATAAGAGGAAGTAATATGAACTTCTTGCTTCCTCTAATTGCCTTCGTTTTTTTCCCTTACATTAATATATATGAGATATTATATTCAAGTGATATTTGGTTTCTTATAGAGACATGTATGATATATTTCAATAACATAAGAAGTAAAATTGTTTTCACTCAAACTACCTTAGTTTCTCAGCTTGAAATAATACTTTCGACGGATATATGACTACATAGAAACAAAAAAACTTTTCTCGGAGATGTAAAAGTACTTTTTATATTCTATACACTTGACAATTCCGAGTACTTTTTAATCATCACAGCAGAAAGAAAAAATATTCTGAATAGATTTATCATGAGAGTACCAGTGCGTGCACTATCGCCAACTACGATATAAATGCTATATTTCATGCTACATGAAATATTTTATCGAGATTGTCAACATATACCATCTAAATCAAATAAAAAAAAAAACTATTTAATTTCTTTCTAATGACTATTCCCATTATCATGACTATTTGTCATTAACAACTTTCTTTTTATAGAACAAAAAAAAATATAATAACAACTATTATTTTCTAGTTCTTGTAGTACAAAGATTGAAGAAAAGAAATTATTTTGTAGTTTAATATCTATTTTAAAAGTTGATCGATTAGTTTATTCGAAAAGACGAAGTACACAAAAAACAAAGTTACTAATGTACCGATTACTAAACAAATAATAATGTTCCTTTAATAAACATAGTACTAATTACTTATCTGTCAGATAAATATATGTAATTTGTTTTTGTGACATTCTGTCGTAATTACAGGTTTTTTTGAGAAGAAAAATATGCTAAAAACAATTTCTCTAATAATCACCGTCGTTGATTTATTTCGTAGAAAAATAAAATACAGAAACGAGATGACAATATCAAGAAAAAGAAAATGTCGGACACAGAAAATCTTATTAAACAAATGTTACATGATGGGTTGTTGAGGTAGACGTGTGATCACCGTTTATTTTTGTTTTGTTAGAATCAGAATGAGAACTTTTTTCCTGATGATTGTTATTATTATTATTATTATTGCATACCTTTAATGTATTGTTATTATCTGATGAACTGAAAAAAGGTGATTGGGTTATATCAATCGATGAATTTGATGTACGTTTATAAAATGGTAATGGGAGGTGTAAATGTGATGAATTTGATGATGTTCTCGGTCGTTGTTCTGTTGGATTATATAAAACAGCCATAGATGCTGACGAACGTCGTCGTGCTATAGCTAACCAAGCATCATTTTCAGTTGTTGCAGAAAATCTTCTTGATTGTCGTCGTAAAATATCAGCAGATGGTATAATACCACCAACACCATAACGATGTATACTTGCTCCATCATGAGGAGCCATAAATGGATATTGTCCATGTCGAAAAAATATATATAAAACCATTTCACGAAAACGTTGACCAAATGCAGCAAATAGAAAAAAATTAACAAAACCATTAAATGCAATTAATACATTTGCAAATGTATTAAAACGTTGTAGAGAATTTTTATTTAAACATGGTGATAATTGAACAAGTAAATTAACAAATAAATTAATTGAACGACATAACATAAATGTTAAAACGATAACAATTAACATGATTGTTATACGTATATCTGCTTTCATACGATGACCTAAACGTTTTTTTTTCTTTTTTATTAATAATAATTGATGAATCATACTACCATTACATAATGCTAATAGTGTAAATGGTATAACGAATGTTATTGGAACATTTAAATAAAAACGATATATTGATAAATATATTTTATTTGAACCAAGACGTGTATATTGTAATTCAACAAGTTTATCAATTTCATCAGTATCATTAAATGTAAAATTTGTGAATGGTGAAAATTTTTTATTTGGTCGTGATCCTGTACGATATTCAAACCAATGTGGAAGTATATAAATATTGACGACTATAAAAACAAGTAAAACTAAACGTACTGCCATTTTACGTGTACGAATTTTTTCTGCTAATAATGGCCAACATATAAGAAAATATCTATCACCACTAACAAGGACTGTTAAATAAGTACTACATAGTAAAAGCATGGAAAGTAATGGTGTTGTGAATGGCGCAGCACGAGCATAGAATTGTTCGTAAGTATTCGCTAATAAAGCATTTCGATTGACAGTATCTGGTTGACGTAAATACGATAATAATTCTGGATATGAAGCTAGAAAAAAAATAACAATTAATATAATAATTTTAATTCCTTTTCTTATTAATGTATTAATAGATAAGTAAAATAAATTAGATGTAAATTTAATACTTTGATAAAGATCATTATTATTATTTTTTTTGAAAACAGACTCGTTTACATTGATGTGCAAAAAAAACAAACAAGATCCTATATGTCAAGAGAATGATACGCTGTTCGGATCATTGATTGTCACAGTTACTACTCAATGCTGATGATGAAAGGAAGTATGCGTACGATATTATTCTCTAGGAATCTCATAAAGAATGCACAAAAACAGAACAAAATGTCAAAATAAAACTAAGAATAATTAATTCAATTTTGACAACATTGATATCATTCAAATCTATAAGATATTTTTTTTTAATGTAAACATTCCGTCCAGACGGTATCCAATATAGGAAAAATAAAAGAAATCGAGGGATGTTCTAGATCAAGTTAGAAGGTTTAATAGAACGTTCTAATTGGTGACAGATGTGATTTTTTTTTCTCGTTACTAATGTATTGTTAAAAGTATTTTGCCGTTATATTCGTTTAAAAGTATTTTCAGTGCGAATATCGATTTTTCTATTAAAAACTTTTATTACGACTATTAAAATACTCATAAAAAAAAGCCATTCAATATTTTGATATACAAATATATGACTATGATGTTTTTAAGTAGATTAATAGGACTAATTTTTATTCATGAAACGGATGTATGTAATCATATCTAAGTGTGAAATGAATCACATTATCATCATGCTGAGAGTTTCCTTTTATTTTTTAGTTCAAAAATAAGTGATGTATGTCGCGTACTAAATAACCTAATAGAAAAGATTTTTTCATGTTAATAAAATTTATTTACCAATTGATTTAATTGAATAATTAATCGTAAGACCGACTAAAAGGAAAATATTGCATGCAGATAAAGCCATTAAATACACATGTGTTGAGCTGTTTCTCATACGCGGATGAAGTAAAACAACAACGGTAAAAATATTGGTAATAACACCTTAAATAAAATAGATAGATATAGTTGTATACAACAACAAAAAAAGAACATAACTAATTACCAGATATACAAAAGATTAATGTAAGCCATCCACCTAGCATATATTTTATCGAAACTGTATTGGAATCGATTAAATTTGTTTCGGCTGAACAATTGAGCGACATCAATCGTCATTGATATTCATAGATTTTATTTTTAAAATAAAAATATTAATTGAAAAAAAAAATATACTAAAATATCAAAAATATATTAATTATTCTATAGAAAACTGATTAAACACGTAGTCATGTTTGCTTTTTCTATGTTTAGTTTTTGACGGTTGAATAAAGATGCGTCAGATAAACTATTATTTGAATCAAGACTAACAAGCTATGTCGCAATAAATCTTCTTTTAAGCAAAAAAAGAAAAAAAAAGAAAAGAAAAGCTGACAAGAACAAAACTTGCTCTTATAATCGCCTTTTTCTTCTTCGAACTGTCTCTAAAATATATTCTAGCTACAAAAGAAATAAATCGTATGACACGACAACGTGTAATTTAGTTAACCAGTTTTTTTTTCATGACAGCTCTAATATTACTTATATTTCTCTCTCTCTCAATTAACAAAAGATGTTATTTTCAAAAAAAAAAAACCTCGACTTCACACTATCAAGGACATAGGAAAATAATAATCCTAAATGAAAAAGTAAACATAACATATCTTTATTGATAATTATTATACCAAGCGGAAGTATAATTTGTTTTTAAAAAGCTAAAGTAGAGTAATAGTTAAACATCCTTTTTCTTTTATGCATGATACTAGTATATATAGGAAAAAAATAAAATTGAAGATCTCTTTGTCATTTCTATTATTTTCTAGTTATACAAAAGAGGACACATTAAGGCTACTAATGCTCACAAAAAAAGAGTAATAAGTTTCGAATGCCGAGATGCTTGCAGCGACTACTCCGCCTTTTCCTTCTCGTTTCTCTTCATCACCCAGTGTCAATAACCATTTATTTCAGCGGAACAAAGAATAAGAAAGAAAATGGGAAGCAAGCTCAAGATCAGTGAATGTACTTCAGTTATAGAGAATGATTCATTACACACAATAGGAAGAAGAAAGAAAAAGAAGAAGAAGGAGAAGAAGAACGAACAAAGTAATAAACAATCCTTGAACTGTAAGAAAAACTAGTATTTGAGAAGATGGAAAATGATGTTTGAGACATTTTCTAGACTTTAAAGAATTTTTTTTCCATATTCGCAAATATGTTATAATTAGTTACATATTGACAACATTAACTAAAGCAAAGGAATATATAAGAAAAAACATCGATTAGTATTTCTTTGTTATTCATTACATATTCCTTTCGTAGCAATTAATCATGTATGATTATTTAAACATAATTTTGTCTAATGATTTGAATTTCTCTTTTTTTGTTTAAATTTTTTTTATCAATGACAAGAAAATCTGTTAAAGTTAAATTGATCGTACATGCCATAAGAGACATTTGTAGATTATTAATTTGATGGAAAAGTCTTTAGGGAATCTAAGAGAACAATCGGAGATTAAGTGAAAAAAATGGCGATAAGATAACGATTGAGTCACATAGATATGTTATCTATAGAAAATATAAATGCTCTGTGGAAACTAATAATAGCGCCGATCGTTTATTTTCTACGACATACATGTGATCAAGCGTATGATCATCAACACAACACATATATATTATCATGATTAGTGCACTTGTGCAAATCTAATTTTTTTTTTCACTTCCTTATTTTTTGTCAAGGTGAATATTGTTGCGTTTTTTGTTGTATTTTAGACACGAAATAGTATACTTACACACGATTGATAAGTACAAATCTATTCACAAAGAAATCTTTTTATATTAATAGAAAACAAAATATATATTTATAGATATACATATATAAATAATCTTCATAAATGTCGTCTTACCCATTAGATAATTAATAGTTCTATGTGATATGCTGACGACATTGAGTCTTTTTTCTCTCTCTTTCGATAGTTCTGGACAATGCCGTCAGCAGACTGATTTTAATCTAACTAAAGAATGCTTTCCGAGATGTCTCTATTCTTTTTTTGATTTGTTTCACAATGCGATATTATCACACGATCGTCAATGCTATATTCATGTAAGTAGCAATCCTCATTGTATGCATGCCATCAGTCGTATGGCGATAATAATCAAATAATCGATGACAAAAAGCATTGAAAGGAAAAGCGAATAAAATCCATGTCTAGTCGATGTTTAGAAGTAGGAAGTAATCGTTAACGAAAATCACATTATTTAGTCTGGTTGATAGCCTTAATTCATTGACGTTACCAAACAAGAAATCATTCGCTTATTAAGAGACAAAAAAAAACTGGAAGTAACAATGTACATACATATATATGTATATATCTATATTAAAATCGTTAATATGTCCTTAAGCACATCTGGCTTTACGAAAAAAAGAAGAAGAAGAATATTCTTATAAACAAAAAAAAAAACAAAAGATATTCGAGTTACAGTCACCATGAATAATGAAAATGAATGATGTGCATGTTGACATGATAGAGAGAGAGAAACAAAAAGCGAGAATACATAAACATGCAAATCTGTAATGACAAATGACATTTGAGATCTGTTCATTGATGAAACAGCAAGTTGTCATTAATATATAAGACACATTTATTGAACGAATATATGAATAGACAAGTTTTTTCGATGATCGAATATAATATTCTAAAAAAAGAATCAATTCAATTGAAATTAACAATCACTTGAAGAATGTTGTTGTAATGTTGATCGAATATTTTTTGGTGTATCATAAATAGTTTGATTTTCTTGTGCATTAATAAATGTACTTTTTAAACGTTCAACATTAGATTTTAATGCTTGAGATACATCATCATAATTATATTTATTTGCAACTAAAGTATTTATTTCTTCAACGGGTTTTATTTTACGTAAATCAATATCATCTTCACTTGATGCTGTATGAGTTCGTGATGATGATGGTGGTGGTGGTGGTAATGGTTTAAGACGATTTCGTGTCATTTTAAAAGATAATTGTGGAGCTGGTGGTTTGTAACGAGTTTTTGGAGATTTAACAAATTTTTGTAATGGTCGTGGTGGTGGAGGTGGAATAGTTTTTTCGATCATTTGTGATGATGGAGATTCAGTAGGTTCACTATTAATATAAATAGCAGTCACACCATTATCACTATTTGATATCGATGTATTGACATGAGATAAATTCTCTATGGATAATCTATTGAAATGACTTGATTGAATAGGTATAGATTGTGGTGTATTAATTGTAACTGTTGTCCATAGATCATCTTCATTATTACGAAATGAAACATTTCTGTCTAGATTATTTTCAACTATTGGACTTGTTGTTTGTTCATTTGCTTCTTTAATAATTGGAATAGATATTTCATTGGAAGTTTTAACTACTGGTGTTTCATTCGAAGTTTTAACTAATGGTGTTTCATCTTCAAATCGAACTGAACTTCGACGTCGTCCTACAAATGGCGTCTCATTTGATTCATCACTATTTTTTCGTTGAGGAATTGTATCTGTTTGTGTTTGTTGTTCAACAGGATGTTGTATTGAATGATGATGACATAAATTTGATGGAACATTTCCATTTTGTTTAAGATGATTTAATCGTTGAAAATATTCTTCAGGAACAACATAGGGTTGATAAGGATTATCAAATGAACGATTTTGACGACGACCAAAACATGGACAACATATACGTTGAAATCGAGAACGTTTTTTTATTTGACGATATTGTGGAATTGATGGATGATAATATGGTTGAAGTTCAGGAGAAAATTCTCGATTATGAATATGATCAGTTGGATATCCAGAATGATTTCTATTTATTATTGGTTGTGAGATTTGTGAACCATATTCACTAACTTCTTTTTCAATTTTATGTTGTCGTTTTTGTGCCATTAATTGAGTTAGAAGATTTTTTAATGTTTCAGGTGATTTTTTTGGTTTAGAAAATAATTGAATACCACGAACAAGTGTATTTAATAATATCGATAAGCTAGTTAACCATCCACCTAATATATAAATATTTTTTTTATATATCAATAAAAAAATAATAATCTTACCAACTGGTAAACTGATAATTTTCCATCTAAATTGTGCAAATAAATCTATACCTGATGATGAACAAATATTCGATTGACTATTTATACAAAATCTAATAACACCATCAGTAACAATAATTGTTGCAGAAAAAGTTATTAAAGCAAATATTAATATTAATAATCCAATAGGTAAACGAAGTAAACGTTCTGTTCGAACAACACGTCGAAAAACAATATGAACCCAAAGTGAAATAAATGAAACAACAAAGGCAGAAAGATAAGCAAATGATGCAAATTCACATGTATACACATTACCCCATTCAGTTATTTGTCGATCAATTGTATCGGTAGAAAATTGTGTTGCATTATCACGAAGATAAAGTTTAGCATACAATGGACATCTAATGAAGCAAAAGTATACATACATACATGTACAAAGAGGCTTATAATGAAACCTTGGATATGTGAGCTTACTGTTCAAGTAATTCATTTCGTAATATGGCAACAATAATAGCTGTATAAAGTGAAAATAACATATCAGTAATATGTAAAAAATCTATCGCACGCCAAAGACGTTGATCAAGTTTCGGGACTTGTTGATTAGGTATTGCTTGAGATGATGATGAAATACTATTCGATTCAGAATTTGATATTGATGGTGATTTATTTTGTAGTAAATTCATCTTCTGTTTTGTTTCTTTTATAATTTAAAAGAATAGATCTTGTGTGTATGAAGTAAGTGAAGAAGATAAACTAAAGTTATTTAGTAAAGAAAGAGTTCACTCTTTCTCATTGTGATTTAAGTTAAATAAATTGAATATATAAGATGTCCACCATTTAATGTTAAACATTCAAGGTTATTCTGTAGGTAGTAACTAACGTATACCCATGAAAACATCTATATACATGCATGTAAAATAGGGTCATAAAACAAGTGATAAATGTCAAGGTTTGCATAATAACTATTTCGTACAATTTAATAAGTACATTGCTTTTTTTTAAAGATCATCATAAGTACTAAAGAATATTTCATATATATATAAACAAATCGAAAATAAAATATTGGTTTGTTGAATAACGTCATCGTGAGTACTACAGTAAACGAAAAATTACAAATCAAATATGCTATACACTTTTAAAATATAATTTCCTTGAATTTTTAACAATAGAAATTTGACTTGACTATATCTTACATGTAATTAAGAAGCGCCAGAATAGCTATCTATTGAAATCATTATCTGTTCAATTTTTGAACGATAGTATATTTATTTTATTACGCATAAATTTTTATATTTTAATAATTAGTCAATTTCAAAGATTTGTTATTGCGTATGAACATCTTTTACATCAGAAATTTCATCATAATTTTTTTCGGTGCATTTATAATTTCGTAATAACCGTTGTTCTTTACTTATGAATCATATAACCAATCAGATTTTTTCTTTAGGTAATAGAAGGAGAGTAACTATCGATTAGAAAATCGTTTTTCTTTCTCTATATCTCCTACATTTTATGGGTATCTATAGTATCGTACAAAATGCATCATTGCGAAAGAACGAGAAGTGAAAAGAAAAAACCCACTTTATTTTCTCTTTTTCTTCATGAGTCATGTTATTGTGCAATAACGCGCAATTGCGTCGAATCTAATTCTCTTGCACCACGTTTTTTTTTCTATCGCATTGCATATATATATACGTGAGAATTCATTTTCAGCTTCATTTTCAAAACATTCATGGTCGCGTCAAACTAACTTTTAGCATTTCTCTGCATTCATACATAACTTGTATTTCATAATTATGCAACGTAAAACAGATTAGTTCAACTACGTATTATTCTATTACAAGAGTAATTTCAAGCCGTCTTCAATATACAACAATTTGATATAATCGGTAAGTTATTTTATTTTTATGTTCTTTGCATGCTGCATATTGCCACAAATGATGTTCATATTATTATTTTGCTTGTTGTTATTCGCCCACTCGAGTGAAATACCGTAAGATTGAGTCAGCATTTACAAAAAGATGGTGCAATAGGATTGCATGTAATTGCGAAATCTTGCTTGTAAACGGGGAAAAAAGGAGAGCGAGAGAAAAAGAAGAAAAAAAAGCCTGTATAAAAGACGACAACTTTCAACATTACAATCATTTCTATAAACATATAGACACATACTCTATCCCCCTTCGCCGTTATTTCCTCATTAACTTATACAGTGCAGGTCCACATTGTAACAGGTAATCGTATTTTTGAAGCCACACTTGCTGTGTCTGATAAACAAAAATACGAAAAACAATCTGCAACAATTTCACCATCTTTCTCTTCTGATAAGACAGTATGTCCGTCATTAAGCTTACCAACAAGTCTCTTCAGCCAGGACATCTTACATCGTCCGGCAAAATTACCTGTATATATCAACCCGGTAAGAATGATCATACTTATGCTAAAGTCAAATATGAAACTATAGAAGAGCTTGAGAATAACATACAAGATAGACAGCAAGCAGATGATAAAACATCATCAACGGCAGCAGTTAATGCAGCCATTATGAAAATCAAGTCAGAGTTAAAAATTTTATGTTCACTTCAGGTACCCATCTCCGACAAATCATCTACAAGTACTTTTAATACTGAAGTCCTTCCTTCACAATCATCTGACTATACAAATCTTGAACCTTCATTTGAATTACCATTTGACGATAATTTCTTTGAAGAAATCGTTAATAATATTCAATTACCTTCAACATTAGACGACGATTGGCCTGTTGATTTTCCTATTGATTCAATTGATCGATTATTTTCTACTGATTCTGATATGACATTTAAAGAACTTACTGATATGTCGATGGAACAAGAACAAGAATATTTTCAACATATAGGAATGAACACTGATGTTCCTAGTACAACACATGATGAAACAACAACGTCTACAATAGATTCTGTATCTGATGATAATGAACGTGATGATATTAATCGACGTGGTTTAAAAAAAAGTGGTGGACCAGTGCGTAAATTAGCACGATTTGGTAATAAACAAGTAATTAAATACTCCGATGAATATCATGATCGACGAGTGAAAAATAATGATGCTGTTAAAAAAAGTCGAATGAAAGCCAAAGAAAAACAAAAAGAAACAGAATGTAAAATGACAAAATTATCTACTGAAAATCGTACATTAAGTGATCGAGTAGATTTATTAATGAAAGAGTTACAGGTTTTAAAATCACTTTACAAAGAACTCAATCAAGATCTACCTACTTCAGCTGTTCAAGCGCTTGAACGAGTTAATGTACGTTAAATTCAAAGAAACATTTAAGACTAAACTAATAGCGTAGAACTCTTAATTTGAAATATAATCAAGAGATATTTTTTCATTGTGTGTTGTTACTATATACATGAGCCAAAAAGTGTTTATTGTAATTTTTTGTTATTTTGATTTTATTTTATCATTATTTTATATATATATATGTATTTTGTTTTTTTTATGATAATATAATAAAATCAAAAATGAAAAGTAATTTTTTTATAATAGCTAAATAGACATACTATTGAAGTTAAGAATATAGGATTGTAGACAAGAGAATGTTGTTGGTAGTTACGGTAGATAAAAAGATAGTTTACATGACTTTCTGTTGACTAAAAAAAAAGATAAAAATATTGTTTTACTTAAAAACACCGCGTATCTAATAGATGACTAATTGAGAAAATGTATTTAGATATATAATTTTGAAATGAATGTATCGTTTTATTTCTTGTAAAAATAATGAATTAGCAGATATTGATCAATATTCTGCTATTTATCAAATGAAATCTATTTGTACATAATGAAAATTCAACACGAGAAAGAAAACTCTTCAGGTGAAGAGTTTTTTTGCGTTTTACAATAGATGTAAGACTACATCCTAGAGATGATTGTGAGCTTTTTCTAAAATCTCACGTTCTTCTCTTGTTATAAAAAAAACATTACTTGAAGGTTTTGGTTGTCATCGATGCTTTGAGTTTTATTTTTGACGGGCGTCTTAATGTATTTGTGGTAAATAATCCAGTATGATTAAACGAAGTCAAAGGAACATTATAAATAGCATAAGTAGATGCTCTATATCTAAAATTAGCTTTGAAAAAATGCACAGAGAATCTGAGAGGAATATTTTGTGACCGAGAAAGACTAGAAATTCTATTTTTGATGTTTGTATGGCAAGTCTGATGATCACATCATCAGAATCTACTGGTCAATTGTCTAGTAGAATGATTCATGATCACTTCGTGTAGAAATTAAGAGTATTCAAGCGTAGATAATCTCTGAAGTTACTTTGATGATTTTATAAAAAAATCAGTACTAAAACAAAATTATAACTCGAAATTTGATTAGCTTACATTTATCTTTAATAATAGATTATATATAAATCGGTTATATGTGATCGTAGACTATACTACATTTCTTACTTTGTTGTAGAATTTCGAAAAATGTGCACAGTTCTCTATCAGCAAGTGTTATTAAACGAACAAAGCATATCAATATATCTAAGTTTCATAAAAGGAGATTAATTGACTTCATGTGACTATAAGTATTGAAAGAAAATGTATTAGAAATAATTCAGAAGTAAATCAAATATTTTATATTAGTTTTAAACTTAATAAATCTTAAAATGTTCTCAGTTATGAGTAAAAACGTTTAGTACAATATTCAATAAACATAGATTATATATTGAATGCCTTTGATAAGATGAACTAAATGATTATGTCATTGTAATTTATATAATCATCAGATCATTAAAATTATCTATGACATCTTTATCAAAAATAAAGAAAGCTGATAGGTCAATCTATTATAATATTACAATCACTATTTGCTCTTTTTTTATTCTCTAGTCAACACATTCTTCTCATATAAAGTTAATATTTCGATTCAAAAATTTTATTCTATACTTAATTTGCCATAAAATTAATATTGTATTTCGAATCGTCATGTGTCAAAGTCTACTTTCTCTATCTTTGACATCGTACAAATAATTATTTGCTTGACCAGGTGACTAAAAATCCACAGATCAAAGGTAAACTATTCAATGATGATATGAAATTACAAAGTACAATTGTTAATATTGACTTTTGTACTTCTTTATCTTAAAATAGATACGAGACTATTCTTCTTATTCTTAGGCATAGTTAGTTCTATGTTTTGTTTATGTGTTATACGGTAGTATATTTGAGTTAAGTAATCTTCTCTTATATATATTAGATGAAACAAAAAGAAAATGTTGAGAGAATATTTTTCACACTTATAGTCCTTATCTATCTTGATAAATAATGTAAAAGAAACGAAAATACGTTTGGCTGTCTCTTTTTTTCATTCAAATAATAACCAACTCGAACACGGTTATATCGAGTATCCTACCATAGAGTAAATATTAACAACCCACGCGTACCTATCTTTTGTTAAACATTTATTATTGTGCCTACGATATCAACTATGTTTGTAGCTGTAATCACTGCATTAGTTATAATTATTAGTGTTTTACTTGAATTTTTTTTTT